AAGAGTGGCCGTGCCAGGGTGTCAACACCTTCTCCTCCGCTGGTGAAGTCCTTGCACTGTGCTCCTTGACCCATTTCAGTTCAAGTGCTCCCAGTTAGCAAAGCCCTGCTGTGTCACCAGACCCTGCAAGCAGTAAGTCCTCTGGACAGGGACGAAGGATCCAGGATTTAGTGCAAGCAAAACACAAATACAAATATCTTTCACACTTTGATAGATACAGTCTGGCCTCACTAAACCAACGTGTGCTGGAGAAATTATATTTCCTTAGCTAGCTCTGACGATGTCTATCTTACCATACTTTGCTAACATGGGGGAAAAAAATTGATACCAGTACATATACACTGAGTGTGAATCACAGATGCAGAGTATGTCATGTGATTAACCCTACTTCTGGAGAAGGGGGGGGAAATCAAAGAAGTCAATTATTTTTTGAGAGAAAAAAAAAATAAAAGAAAAAGTTCCATTGCCCTTTTTTTTTTTTAGTCTGGAACATTCTATGTAACAAAAATGAAATATCAAAGAAGATATTTGCAAAAAAAAATCATTATTAGGTGTGAACAAAATAATTTAACTTCAATAAGTACATGAAGAATGAGGGACGAGGGCCTTAGCACGGAGTCGGAGATATACAGAAATGTGAAGCTGCTTTTGTACATAGAGAGTTTAAATTACTCAGAGGACAGAAAGTTATTAAGCTCAGCTAGAAAACTGATTTGATTATATTTATTGAAGCCTAATGGCAGGTGAAAAAGTAATATCTTAGTGGGGGAGGAACAAATGTGAGCTTGTTATTCTTGACACCCAGTCATCCATTTGTTTCATTTCTGTATCCTGTCTGGAACAGCGTGTTGGAATTTGTAAATAGGGCCACTGAAGACAAAAGTGCGATGAACACTTGGAAGGATCAACTCCTACTTCCGTGTGCCGTTATTTTAAACACATAGAATAGATGTAGTCCCATGAAACGATGGGTGCTCTCTGCTTTCCCAGACACTGTGGATGTGACAGCCTCTGAAGCCTACACGGAAACCACCACATCAGATTCAACCCAGCCCCGGAAAGCGGAATGCGATCCTAGGTGTGCCCCAGTGAAAAGCTTTCAAGGATAAAGATTTTAGAGAGGTATCAGCTGCTTCAACTTGCAAAGACTTCACAGTTTCTCTGCAATAGTACATAAATTGACTTAAATTGGTTTGTCTTTTCAAAGATAAGATAATGAGAGCAAATACAAAGAATGCTAACGTATGACCTTCGAGAAGGAAAGAAATCAGGGGATTAACTTCTAATGAACTGGATGGGAACTTAAGGTATAGAAAAAAAGATGAGGCTAAAACCTTCCTTCCGTGCTGGAATAGGTAAGAGTAACATGAAAATGATCCTGCATATAATCTACTGAGTACACTTAGAGAGTCACGTTCCAGAAATGTATTGAAAAGCTGTCAAGAAGAATGACTGATTTAATGAACTGTGTCAACACATTTGCAGGAAGCACCAGATTATAATTTGCTCTGCCTTAGTGGCATTTTAAGCAATGAAAAATTGCTTTTACAGTGAGTATTAAACTGTACAATGTTATCAGCTTTTATGATATGAATCTATTTTGAACAAAATTTACCCAGTTCCTATCTCCTTAGCTGTAGTTCAGACGATATTTTTTAAAAATGTATTCCCACAATGAGGAAATGTTCTCCTTTCTCCATGATTTGCCTTAATGCTTTAACTTATTTTGAAATGGCCTTGTCATTTCTAAAGATCTTTTTCTTCCTAATATTTGCTTAGCCGGGAGGATGAACAAAGGACTTTGTGACCTGAAGCTCAAGGCTCACGAACACATTTTGAGTGGT